ACATCATATTCAACTTCAATTATTTGCATGTAAGGATTTTGGATTCAAAAATTCAATTAGTATTTTTGCATTTAAAAAAAATTGTCAAAATAGTTATTAAAACAGTGATAAAAATACTTATAATAGTGATAAAAAAATAGTCATAAATATAGTAAATTTCCCACAAAATTAGTAAATATAAAATAACCCAAAAAATTATAAAAATACTCATTAAAGTAATAAAATTTAGAAGTACCATACCAGAGTTAACTCCTTCAAACTCAAAACTATTTCACAACAAAAAGAATGAAATAAATTTCGACCATTTTGATATCTACAATAATTGGACGGAAAAAGAAATTGACTTCCACGTGTTTCATTTTATGGTCGGTTATCAGTTGATACATTGTACCGTTTCTTATACTTTTCAGCCAAACTGAAACTATTCAGTCCTTTGATTGTCGGGTCAGGCTATAATATCGAAACTTTTTTTTTCGGTACGCTACTGACATTTTATTTAGTTTATTGATGTAATTTTTTTTTTTTCTGGTTGTTAATCAGTTTAAAAGTGGAATACCAGTTACCTGCTACACCGATAATGAAAAATAATAGTCGAAAACAGTTGGATTTAACAAAGAACCTCTCCAAAAAAATTGGAACCTCTAATCAAAAAAGTTAAAGCCTCTAACCAAAAAAATTGGAACTTCTAACCAAAAAAATTTGAACCCCTCCCCCTAAGAGTTGGAACATCTATCTAAAAAAATTGGAACCCCTGCCCCCAAGAGTTGGAACCCTTATCCAAGAATTGGAACTTCTACCCAAAAAAATTGAAATCTCTACCCAAAAAAATTAAAACTCCTTCCAAAAAAGTTGGAACATCTGCCAAAAAAAGTTGAAACCTCTACCCATAAAGTTGGAACCCCTCCCAAAAAAGTTGGAACCCCTTTCACCAAGAGTTGAAACTCCTACTCAAAAAAGTTGAAACATCTACCAAAAAAAGTTGAAACTCCTCCCCAAGAGTTGGAACCTCTATCCAAAAGGTTAAAACTCTACCAAAAAAAGTTGGAACCCCTACCCCTAAGAGTTGGAACCCTTAGCCAAAAAAGTTGAAACTCCCCCAAGAGTTGAGACTCCTATCCAAAAAAGTTAGAACCCCTCCCCCAAGAGTTGGAACGCCTCCCCCCCAAAAAAGTTGGAACCCCTCTCACCAAGAGTTGAAACCCCTATCCAAAAAAGTTGAAACATTTACCAAAAAAAATTGTAACCTCCCAAGAGTTGAAACCTCTACCCAAAAGATTGGAACCTCCACCCAAAAAAATTGGAACCCCTCTCCCCAAGAGTTAGAACATCTATCCAAAAAAGTTGAAACACCTCCCCCAAAGAGTTGGAACCCTTATCCAAAAAAGTTGGAACCCACCCCAAAAAAGTTGAAACTCCTACCAAAAAAGTTTGAACCCATCCCAAAAAAGTTGAAACTCCTACCAAAAAAGTTTGAACCTCTACCAAAAAAATTGGAACTTCTCCCCCAATTGTTAGAACCTAGAACCCACACCAACGATTAGAACTCAACCCCAAGAATTGGAACCTCCAAAAACGTTGGAACCCCTCCCCTTAAGAGTTGAAACCTCTATCAAAAAGTTAAAACTCTTACCCAAAAAAGTTGGAACCTCATCCCCCAACTGTTAGAACCCACTCTTAAGAGTTGGAACCTCCAAAAAAGTTGAAACCCTTCACCTCAAGAGTTGGAACCTCTACGCAAAAAGTTGGAACCCCTACCCAAAAAAATTGGAACCACCCTAAAAGAGTTCGAATCTCCAAAAAATTATAATTCAATTCAAAAAAGTTGAAATCTCAACCAAAAACTAGAACCCAAAGAGTTGGAACCTCTACTTAACAGTTAGAACCAACTCAAAAAGTTATCAATCAATTAAAAAAATTGAAACGCGAGCCAAAAATATAAACTAATGCACAGTTGAAATTCTATCCCAAAAAGTTTGAATCACCCCAAAAAAATATAATTCAATCCTAAAAAATTAAACCTTATACCAAAAGCTTATAACTCAATCCAAAATAGTTGAAATCTGACCAAAACAATTATAATATAGCTAATTCGAATCACCCCCCAAAAATTGGAACCCAATCCAGAAAAGTTATAATCTTGACCTAAATAGTTAGAAACATTATTTACAATTCTTTTATTTATAATTCTTTTAATTATTTGATTTTATTCGTTATTTATTTGTTGTTAATGAAAAATGAGACTATTTAAAAAATATTGAATATTTTTGGACTACAGTAAGATTTTTTTGATTATTTAAGGGATAAAAGGGTGATAGTTAAGGGATAACCCCTTATCAATCTCACATTTTTTCAACCAGTCCTAGTAAATTATACTTATACCCCACATATTATAATATATTATTTTTTTTATTTTCTAGTGAATATTGTGGTCCACAAATCACAAAATCCTTATCTTCTCCCTCCACCCGCTTTCCCGCCTAAACGCCTGGTTACTGGTCTTGCCTTCCCTCCATCTCTTTCACAATACAAAAAGTATTTGTTTGTTTGGTTTAGATTTTGTTGAGTCTGCGAAGACGAGGTACTGTGAAACTCCATTACTTTTTTTTTTTGCATGATTTTGTTTTTGATAATCTTCCATTGCTTACCTTGGTGATCAGAGTTAGTTTCATTCATTCCGTTTTCTTTTTTATTTTTTATTTTGGGGAAATAATTCTGCATTTATGTGCATACATTAATCGTAATGTAAAATGTACTTGTGTTTTGTTATTCAAATCTTTGAAGTGAGTATAATTAAAGTTACTGTGATTATGTTCTATTTTTTTTTATTAATTCATATATTGGTGTTTTAGCTCTATTAGGAATGCCTCCGAATAGCTAAATATGTCGGTCTTCAGGTATGCAATCTTTCTCTCTTTCTATCTCCCTTCATCTTTTGTATTATCTTGTATATATCAATGTTTTTAAGCTTGGTTTTGATTTGATTATAGAGAAACTTGGATCAGGGGTGTCAATGAGAATTAGTTTTGAAAGAATTCGTCTTTTGACTTTCTGTTGGATTTGATTTTTCCTAATTTTGGGAGAATTCATTTTTTTTAAGGATGAATTAGAAATCTGTTTGTGAGATACATTTTGTTTTTGATTTTAATCTTTACTCCGTGTAAAAATTTTTGGAAACTTGTCCTTCATGTGTTTTCTATTCAGTTCTATTAAAATCTCTTTGTTGCTGATCAAAAAAGGAAAAAAAAAATGAATATTTTTTCCCCTAACCTTAACAGATTTAGTTTTAGAAAAATAACACTAGATACCAGTTTGTTCTATTTTCTAGGTCGTTCAATTTAGCGTCTGACAATTTGACTTAAGTGAATGAGTGGTTATACTTTACATAGGACTCATAGTTGAGGCTCTATTGGGGTTTTAGAATGAACTGCTGCCCAAACACCTAGAAGGGAAGGAATATTAACATGGTTCTTCTACTATAATTAATCTGCAACAACATAACACAGAGCTTGTTGTTGATATGGTAAGACAACAGTTCAAAAAACACATTCGTAAGACAGATCCAAACAAAATTCAGAAGCTGAAGTATGAGGAAGTTTCATTTCACATTGTTATTCACTTGATCTCATTGGCTACTTATATCATTAGAGTTGATCACAATTCACTGTCATTTCCCATACTAACTCCTTCAATGATTTATTCGGTCTTTTCTTCATTTCTTTATACTTGTTTGTATTGAACCCTTCCCTAACCCCCACCCCCACACCCACAATATTCATATAATGGTGCTCATGATTTGGTCAGTAAAGCAAATAGGGATCAAGCACCAGTTAACTCATGCACACATGCACAGTATGTTGTGATGGCAAAAGAATTTCTAAAGTTCTTTCATGTATGCTTTGTGGTTTACAGTGCAGTGAGGGGACTCATACATCACATTTTATACGAGTCTGAGAAGTTGTCTGGCCGCAAATTCAGCAAGAGTTGTTGATATTACTTGTTATACACTACCTAAAATTTTCATTGGTGTACTAGTCGAAGTTTTTGGCCGTTTTGAAGTAATAAAGCAAGTGATTGGAGTGCTTCTTACTAAGCGTTAGAGTACATGGTTATATGAAATTTGTATTGTTTGGGGGGGATTCTCTTAAACATTCAATATAGATGTAGAAAGGAAGAGTAACAATTTGAGCAACTTCGAATATGCATGTGCATAAAACATGAGGAATATTTCACTGTCCACTAAATGCAGGTTCGAAAGGCAATCACAGAATGACCAGCTGGACAAAAGCAAATTTGAATATATCACATTAAGAGGTTATTAGCCTTGGTAATGTGCGCAAAAAAAACTATTAGTCTTTGCAAACAAAGAGAGTTCCATTTGCCTTGCGAATGGTAAAAGTGGCATTGTTTTTTCAGTCCATGAATCTTCGCAAATTGAAGGCAACAAAAGAACTTTTGCTGTCATCTTGATGGCATTGTTGTAGCCTTTGCCATTTCTTTACTTTTGATGGACCCTGGCAAGGGTGACCCCTGGTTATGCCCTATCCATTTGATAAAATGCAAATGGACATGTTTCTAGAAAACCCCAAAATGGACAACGTATTTAATTGCTTTTAGCATCCAATTCTGATTAAAAGACGAGGATACAAGTGTCATTTTACATACCATTCTTCATCAGCAAAGTACAAGCCACAAGGGTGAAACTTTTAAACCCAGGAATTACAATAATTTACTACTGATCACTGGTAAATTCTAATGTGCTGGAACAAACAGGATTGAAGGAAATAAGTCACTTGTTTTTCTCCATTTACAAATTCTGGCTCAATTGCATACAAGAACTGTGATATTTTGACCCAAGAGTCGTGCGATAATTTCATAACGTTTTCATAAAAGAAATACGGAGATTTAGCTACCATTCGGTCAAGACTCCTGCATGAAAGCTTGGACAGTTTGGGCATCCTAGATACATCCGCCTGAGCTGCTTTATGATGGAGCTTTCTGGGTTATACAGGCACCCGAGAGCTGGCAATTGCTTCAAGCCATGCCGGCCCAAACAAATAGCCAGAGTTATCATTGTACTCCTCTTTTGGCATTTTCAAGTTGTATAGCTCATCAATATATTCTTCTTTTGGCCAGTTCCCTTTGTATTTTTGTCTTGCTTCAGTATCCCGAAAATTAGAAGCAACATATGGACTATATTCCTCCATTTTTACCTTCACTGTGCCAGGGAAATGGTGATTTAGGCCATATTACAGTTAACAAATAAAAAATGAATAGGAAAGGTGACCCATGGCTCAAATATCGAAAATAGAGAGAAAGGCACATTAAGCTATAGTGCAAGATGATCCTGTGTTAGTTAACCAAAACTTTGAACTATTTCCCTCTGAATTCTGAATCCTACTAAGGCAATGTGATCTTCAATTCTACAAAAATAACATGAAAATTTGGTATAAGTGCAAACTAAAACTGATACCTCTAACCTCTTGCTATAACATATACTAATTAACCAACAAACCTCCATCAATTGAAATTACTGAACTACTTAATGGTATAAGTGCAAACCTTGAGTTAAATCAACAGAACCTCTTCGCTCTTTCACCCACTGGTAACTCTGTGCTAGTCTCCACCCTTTGCTCTTCATCAAGTAAAATATCACAATAGCTGGCAATCTGTCAAAACAAGAAGATCATAATCAATGGATTGAGGTATTCACCTATTTTTCTGGTAAAAAGTTCACCTATTTTTTCCTGATATGCAGTGAACAAAAACACAAGCCTTATCCTTTTCGCAATGCTCTGCACGACAAAAAAGAAGCAGTGCTAAAGTCGGCACAATTAACACATAAGCACTGGCTTTCTGATTTTTGGTGTATTAATACAAATGTAGCACTTGTTTAATAATTGCAGATTAGCTAAATATTAAATCTGCAATATGCCAATGAAAGCACAATTAATTTGCCAATGATCCTGCTGTTCCACCTCATACCTATAAAAACTATACAGAAAAAGCAAGCCCCTAGTCAGAGACTGATTAATGCTTGACCACTCTTTAGGCTCATTTGGTCTCCAAATTAAGGAGGTATTTATAAAGATCTACTAAACTAAAACTCTTTACTCCCCTCTTATACTACATTTGGCGTCAAATGAGTTAATTTTAATGTCATGGGAGAGGTGGCATCCAATGCTGCAAGTAAAAAAAGAGTGACCTTCCATCTTTCACTAATCAATATAATAGAGATGCAGTCTCGCAGATTGAAGAAGAATGTGAACTGCTATCTCCAACAAGGATTCACAAACAGAATTTCTAGTCATCAAACTACTGACGCTACCATTATTACTTTCACAAAGGCTAACCCAATGAGCAGATTAAGAAGAAATGAGAATTTCTAAGTTTAGTCAAACACCTTAATTTTGATCACATATAATAGGCCTCAGGAACACAACTCCATAAGGGTCTCCGTCAAGTCAAGTTCATGATCACCATTTCCTCCAAATGATGGAAACCACCCATCCATCCACCCAAACGAGGCAATATTGAGAGCTCATAGCTATGAACTAGGAACAGGTCTTGGAACCTAGTAACTAGATTGAAATGATCCAGTAAGTACCATCAAATAACCCCCAAAAATAACAAGCATACTACACGATCAAGGACAGTTAAGATTCCTTTGACAAATCAAAAACTGCAAAAATAAAAAATAAATAACTAAAACAGGTAGAAAAACATGAATTTCAATTCCTTCCCACAATTAACTAAGCACCATCAAAGTCTTAAATATTCTATATATAGACTGAAATTCAAAACCAGTTAATGTCACCATATATGTGGTTATATCAGATATTTCAATAAAGGATATGCAACATTAATATATCATTGATCGATTAATCACAATAAGCCCAGTTCCAATCAAGAAGAGACGATGGCCTCAAGCTCACATTGAGAACTCGAGAAATCCCGAGTCTTGAGAAGCTAAGCCCGCGAAGCGTTATCATAACTACCAAAATATAGGAACTCCGACAAGTTCTCCGACGGAAAAGCGCTAACCTAAAGAAAACTATTCTCGGTGACAGCCGGCATACGGTGGCCACAGACACCACAAACCCCACAAACCTCTCTTTCTTCGTACTTGTGGTAGCGCCCACAAGGATCGGTCGCTCATTCCGACGACCGGTCTTAATTTATAAGTAAATTATACTTAAAATTTTAAAATATAACAATATTTATTTATTTAATTATTTATTTATTCATTTATTTTAGACATATGATTCATAATAACTTTATCTTTCTCCCGTTTCCGCCTTTTTCTGACTTTCCCACTGTTTTCTTTTTTTCCCGCCTAAATTACTTTATCTTATCTTCCCTCTATCCCTTTACTGGTACATATATTTAAGAATAAAAAATATTTTTGTGATGCAAAGTATATTTTTTTGAAAAACAAATTGGATGGAATGTTTCCTTAGGAGACAGTTGAATTTTTTGAAAAAATTCAGTTCCCACTTTTATTTGATCTATCATCCACATCCATCGCAACTCCAAAAAAGTGTAACCCAACACAAAATTAATATCAAATTAATATTTAATTCATCCAATTAATATCAATTCATTAAATTAACACTAAATCAACATTCAATTCATCCAATTAACACTCAATTTATCAAAATTAACATCCAATAAAAATTCAATTTATCAAATCAACACCAAAGTAATATGAAAATTAAACAAATAAACATTTAATTCATTAACTCAATGCTAAATTAACAATACATTTCATCTAATGAACATTTAATTAAACATTCAATCAATTAAAAATCTAATAAACATTCAATCATCTATATTACATTTGTGCTGGTTTGATAAATTAAATTTTATTAGATGATTTTGAATGTTAATTTGATGAATTGAGTGTTAATTGGATGATTTTGAATATAAATTGGATGAATTGAATGTTAATTTAATATTAATTTGATGAATTGAATATTTATTTGATGACATTAAATGTTAAGTTAATTTGATGAATTAATTATTTATTACATGGAATTGAATGTGAATTTGATGAATTGAATATTAATTTTTTGTTAATTTGATGAATTGAAATTTAATTTAATGTTAATTTGACGAATAGAAAGTTAATTTAGTGTTAATTTGAAAAATTGAATATTAATTTGGTGTTAATTTGATGAATTGAAAAATAATTGGATAAAATTGAATCTTAATTTGATAAATTTAATTTTAAATAGTTAATTTAAATGTTAATTTAATAAATTGAATATTTATTATACGAAATGGAATGTTAATTTGTTGAATAGAATGTTAATTTGGTGTTGATTTGATGAATTGAATATTTATTCAATGAATTTTTATATTACATTGGTGTTGGTTTGATAAAATAATTTTTTATTAGCTAATTTTAGATGTTAATTTGATGAATTGAGTGTAAATTGGATGAATTGAATGTTAATTTAGTGTTAATTTGATGAATTAAATGTTTATTAGATAGAATTAAATGCGAATTTAATGAATTAAATATTAATTTTGTGTTAATTTGATGAATTGACTGTTAAATAGTTAATTTAATTTTTAATTTAATGAATTGAATGTGTAATGTTGGAAATGAAGTGTTAATTTTTTAAATTGAATATAATTTTGATGTTGATATGATGAATTAAATCTTTATTAGAAGATTTTTTTTTATTTTAATTTGATGAATTCAATGTTAATTTAATGAATTAAATATTAATTGGATGAATTCAATTTTAATTTGGTGTTAATAAGATGAATTGAATGTTTATTTGATGAAATTTAATGTTTATTTAGTATAAATTTGATGAATTGAATATTAAATGTTATTAGATGAAATTGAATGTTAATCTGTTGAATTGATTATTAATTTGGTGTTGATTTGATGAATTAAATCTTTATTAGATAATTTTTAATTTTAATTTGATGAATTGAATGTTAATTTAATGAATTAAATATTAATTGGATGAATTGAATTTTAATTTGGTGTTAATATGATGAATTGAATGTTTATTTGGTATAAATTTGAAGAGTTGAATATTAAATGTTATTAGATGAATTGAATGTTAATTTAATGAATTAAATATTAATTTGGTATTGATTTGATGAATTAAATGTTTATTGAATGAAATTGTATGTTACTTTGATGTTGCTCTGTTAAATTGAACCTTTATTGGATGATTTTTTATGCTAATTTGATAAATTAAGTGTTAATTTAATGAAGTTGAATAGAAATTTGATGAATTGAGTGTTAATTTTGTGTTAATTTTATGAATTGAATATTAATTGGATGTAATTGAATGTTAAGTTGAAGAATTAAATGTTTATTAGATGAAATTGAATGTTGATTTGAAGAATTGAATGTTAATTTTTTATTTATTTAATATTTATTGGATGAAATTGTATGTTATTTTGGTGTTAATTTGTTAAATTGAATCTTTTTTGGAGGATTTTTTATGTTAATTTTATGAATTGAATGAATTTGAATATAAATTGGATGATATTGAATATTACGTTGATGAATTAAATATTTATTAGTTGAATTTTAATTTTAATTTAATGAATTAAATGTTTATTAGGTAAAATTAAATGTTAATTTGGTATAAATTTGATGAATTGAGTATTAATTGGATAAAATTACATGTCACTTTGATATTAATTTAACAAATTGAATATTTATTGAATGATTTTTTATGTTAATTTGATGAATTATAATATCAAAAGGTTAAAAGTATAATATCAAAGATAAAAGTGTAATATCAAAGGATTAAAGTATAATATTATACCAGGATTGGTCCCTCGCTCCAATGGTCGGTCTTCATTGATCTATAAATAAATCACACTTACACTCTTAAAATATAACAATATTTATTTACCTAGTTATTTATTTATTCATTTATTTTGGACGTCCACAATAACTTTATCTCTCTACCCCCGTTCTCGCCTTTTTTTGCCTTTCCCACATTTTTTTTCTTTTCCTGCCCAAATCACTTCTCTTACATTCCCTACATCGCTTTATTCGTACATATAACTTGTTTGAGAATAAAAAATATTTTTGTGATGCAAAGTATATCTTTTGAAAAAAAATTGGATAGTATGTTTCCTTAGGAAACAGTTGAATTTTTTGAAAAAATTCAGTTCCCACTTTTATTGGATCCATCGTCCACATCCGTCGCAACTCCAAAAAAGGTATATCCTAACACAAAATACTATCAAAGTAACATTCAATTTCATCTAATTAATATTTAATTCATCAAATTAATATTTAATTCATTAAATTAACATTTAATTCATCCAATTAATATTCAATTCATCAAATTAACATTAAATTGACATTCAATTCATCCAATTAACACTCAATTTATCAAAATTAACATCCAAAATCATCCAATAAAAAATTAATTTATCAAATCAACACCAAAGTAATATGAAAATTAATAAAATAAACATTTAATTCATTAAGATAACGCTAAATTAATATTACATTTCATCTAATAAACATTC